AGAGAGAGAGAGGGAGACAGAGAGACAGAGATGCAGGCAGTGAGTCACCATGCGTGCGCACAACACGAATCAACATACGACATTATATGTTGCTCTCGTTCTACGACGGTGCACGGCCGTCAGAAATATTCAGGATGCCACTGATGTGCGCGGCGCCCCCGAAAGCAAGTAGACAAACATCAAACATCTTCGGTGAATCTCTCGTGGGAAGGCGCACTCAGGATTGTGGTAACTAGTACCCGTTGAGATGTTGGTCAGCGCAGTCCAGTGGTTGGCACAGTTCAGAGTTGTTTCAGCGATGCATATGTTGTGCAAATGGCCGGATATGGAATGAGTTGTAGCTGGGCTTCACAGGGAGAGCAGCACTTTGTCGAATATGACAGGAGAGGATTCTCGAAGGTGAACCCATCGCGTGCGGCCCACAACTTTGCACATTGTTCTTCTGGGACTGGGGTGGCGGACACGACATACATCCAGTTCCGTACACGGCTGTATACATTTATGTATATCTGACATGTGTGCTTGTGTGTGTACATGTGTACATATATGTCTGTGTATGTAATACTTACTACTAGTATTTAGTTTTCAGGAGCTGCTGTGATTGTCATGCGCATCAGTACTGCCACAGCAGACCAGAAAACCACACTCCATGCTGCACGTCTATGTTTGGCAGTCAGTGTTTCTTGAAGACAAAGCTTTACTTGATCTGAACACCATGGACCAGAATGAGAACCCTGAAACGCCCAATGCAGGAAACGAACAAACTTCGACTCTGCAGCAGGCTCCTCGGAACGCCCAGGGACATGGAGATGATCGTGATGTCCTGGTATCGACCTCTCGAGAATTGCCGTTCTGTGTTGGAAATATCGCAAGACAGGAATTTCAGACTGCAGGGAAACTTTTGGGCGGGTAGCATTTGCGGCAAGGTGCAGAACCATCACCAAGCCCTGTCATTGGCACCAGCTATACGGCCATGCCAAAGCTCTTGAACCGCAGCTTCGGAGAAGCTGTATATGCACTGAAGTGCCGAAGATGTCACCACTGTTGTATAGCAAGCCCTCCAAGGAGTCACGGTCCTCAAACCCTGTGCGCCCTGAAAACCTCGAACCTCTCGGGAGCCCCAAACCCCGGCAAAACCACTCTATAAATGAAGTGCTACTCATCTCAACCACCATCGGGACAAAACTCACTGGCAGGTAGTCTGTAAACTCCAAACGTGCCATGGCCTACTAAATGCTACATTGCGACACCCATCGAAAACTTGAAGCACTACATAATTCCTGGACCCTGAAGCCCCCGAACGTGCACAAGTCAAGACCATGTCAAGACCTCTCCCAGCCTTGGAAGAGAGCCTCGTCGTCTGAGTGCCAGCCCACAGTCGAGGCTCCATCCGTGTAGAGGTTCAAATTGCAGCAGTCCTTTATTTCGACGAGGGCTTAAGAGTAAAAATCGTCACAGTCTTTGAACTCCATCATGCCATCGTAGTTCGCGCTTAGGGTAGCCAGTCACTTATCGTGGTAAGGAACCTTGTGATAAAAATAACAAGCCCCCTCTTCTCCTTCAACCCAAAGCCGAAAGCCATGGCTTCTTAAAACCTATTGTGAACAACCCGGTAAGTTTGAGCACGACGCATCAAAGTCTTTCAGGAGGCAAGAGCGAGCAGCTAAACCCAACAGCCTCAAGACGCAATGGGCCTCTTCGGTCGGTGCATAAAATCTGAACAAAGCAAGAATGTGCTTTTGGAGGGCTAGCTGCGGGCCATTCTCCGACGCTCGTGAAGCCACAGAAGGGCATGACCTTCGTGGCCCCGAAGGTCGGCAGGGGTGCACAAGCAGCGCAATCCCGATCTTGCAACTCTCAACATTTACACAAAGTTAGTCACTAAGCCGCCTTGTGCCTGATACGGTAATTAGTCTTGCAATGATCCCAACGCCACGAACTGTGGCATCATTGACGTGGACCCAAACAGCATCTTGGTCCGTGGCTACACAGTCATTCAGGTCGCGACGCGTAGCTGCAAACCTCCCTGCAATCCCGCAACGACATAGCCCAAACCGTCGGATTCGGACAATTTGCGGCTTTAGATTTTTGTGGCGCGCGAACAGCATGCCCACAAACACAGCCACATGATGAGCACTGACTGTTCAGTTAGACTGAAGCCTGAACCGCTCCGCCAGACCTCACAGTCAAACCGCCGAGGCCCTACATCCAAACACCCAGAATGTCTTAAGAACCTTCATAATTCCCAACCCCAGAGTGCCAACGGTAGTAGGCCTAGCCTGCCACTTATTGCAGAAGCTTCCGGTCTATTCCTGCCTCGGACATCAATTGGACCATCCAGGGTGGGAACTCTGCCGGCGGGACCTGTGTGCTGGGCGCAGCAGCCGTAGCAGTAGCAGGAGTAGCAGCAGAGTAGTAGTAGTAGTAGTAGCAGCAGCAGTAGTAGTAGCAGCAGTAATGGTGGTTGTTGTTGTAGTGGTAGTGGTAGTGGTAGTGGTAGTGGTAGTGGTAGTGGTAGTGGTATAGGTAGTGGTAATGGTAGTAGTGGCGCAACTGGTACCGCTACTGCTACTGCTACCCCTACCCCTATACTCCTACTCCTACTCCCACTCCCACTCCTGCTCCTGCTCCTGCTCCTACTCCTCCTCCTCTTTCTCCGCCTACTCCTACTCCCCCTCCTACTCCTCCTCCTCCTACTATTCGTTTGTCATAGCACTAGTACGACGACTACTACTAATGGTACCGCGACTACGACTACGACTAAGACTACGACTGCGACTTCGACGACTGCGACTACGACGACTGCGCCGACGACCACTACTCCTACTAGCTCTGCCACCACCACTACCATACTAGCAGTGGCTTCAGCAGCCGCACCAGCAACAGAAGCCGCCGCAGCACTGTCAGTACTATAACGAGGTACTGGCGGCGATCGTGGGATAGTGGTAACGTTGTTGAACCGGCATTAGAGCAACTGTTCCAGCACATTCCAGCACGATGTGATGAGTCGTGCAAGGCATGCCTGCTTGGACAGCTCCCTTGCATGCCTTAGGTTGCCTTGCAAGCTGCTAACCGGATTAGAGCTTACTGTACCGCCCTTTCGTCCTTTTTTTCCTAAACGGTGTCCAAGGCTTTTACTGCACAGTTGCACTGGTTCTTGCAGCTTTAATCCAAGCTGCCAACGTATGTGGCAAGTTGAGGCCATGCAACGCTGATAGCATGAAGAGCGCCAGTTGCCCTGCCGTGATCCGTACAATTCGCTATAGGAACATATAGACTTCGGGACACCTACGACCCCTTCGAGGGTCGCTGTACAAAGGTGCATCGATTGCCCAAAGTGCTTTGCAGTGCTGCACGCCCATGCCCAAACTCAGACTCCATGACAGGTCTGCTTGGCGGCGGGTATCGGAACGCAGCAGCGAGCACGAATGGGCCTAATTCGCCTAATTACAGTGGTCCGAAGTCTACCTGTGCACAGGAGGGCAGTTCATGCGCCTCCCGTGATGGCATAGAGAAACCGCAAGGCCGGCGAGCCTAATACCGCAAGGCCGGCCGAGCTCGTAGGAAATAAGGGCGAAAGCCTCGCCCTTTACCAGACCTCCCCCTGTGCTGTTCTTTACAGCAGCCCAGAGGGAGCAAAACTTCGACTGACTAACTATGGGAGCTTGAAAACTATATAGGTGCGCCCATGACACAGCAGCCGACATTCGGCATGCCAAATTCACCCACAAGCACCGGTGTCCAAGCCATAATGCTCTCGCGCTGCTACCGAGTCCCTTTTGTGCCGTGCTTCGTGGTCGCGATGAAGTGTGGATTGGAACTGACGGCACTGATGCAGCACATACATCATAGTCGAGGTATACATGTCAGGCAAGAGGGAAAAGTAGAGCGCATGATCCGCCGCCCTGAGCTCTTCCGGGAGGGTCATGCTTATAATCTCGGTCGGATCCTCAGGGGACACTTCGATCTTCAACTTCTCCACCAGCGCATCCATACCTGCCCTACTGAGCATGTAGCCATACGCTCCCGCCGTATACCCGAACTGATTGAAGCGAATAAATGGCTCGGGTTGCCTCCAGATCCTGGGTTCCAGGTTCCAAAAAGGGTTTAGGGTTTAGGGTCCATAGGGTAAAGGGTTTAGGGTCTACAGGGTATAGGGTATAGGATATAGGGCTTAGGGTTTAGATCCTGGGTTCCAAGCAACTTGGGAACAGGTCTAGACTCCACTCTGATCTTTGTCTATGCCTCTCCTAGATAGTGATTTCTAGTTTGCCCCTCCAAAAAAAGAGGAAGCAAGCAAGATCCAAAGAAAAAAAGGACGACGAACAGTATATAGTAGTCCAGAGCCCAGGATCTTGTTGCGGACATCCGTGCGCTTTGCTCCGAAACCGAGCTGAATGCCCTTCCAACCCCGGGGAGCTGCTTGTGCCAACTCTCGCAGAGAGAGCTTCCATAGAGGATGAGTGTCGAAGTTGACATCATCTTCCAAGAATACTGCAAGATCGAAGCCCATTTTCCTCGCAGTCAACATCGCTCTCATATGGGAGAGCGTGCATGCAAGAATCACCTTGTCCTTGCGCTCGGTGTATTCAACTCGATGTCCAGTTTCATTCAAGACGGTGACCAGAGACACGCGAGACAAGTCGGTCATAGCTTCGACCATGTAGTTGCTCACGACGCCACGGAGAGACTTCTTCATGAAGGCTTGCCGAGGTGCCGACTCTTTCATGGAAACCCAAAAGAAGGGAACTCCATAAGTCAGCTCGCTGAGAGTTCTTCCGTTCGGTTTCAGCCCCGTTTCTGCAAATCCTTCTGGATTGATGAGCTTCAAGAGGTCCTGAGCTTTTCGCAGGGTCCCTGGCCCTAAAATCCTTCTTAGACTTCTTTCGATCATACTGGACTACACTAAGAAATGGGCCGTTCTCTAGATCAGTCGGCACCCGTATAAGAACGATCCCCAATAGGGACGCGATTCAGCCACCGACCCATAGATACATATATATATATGTATGTGTATATATATATATGTTTTGAATATATATATATATATGTATGTATGTATGTATGTATGTATGTATGTATGTATGTATATATGTTTACTTATTTATTTACAACAAAGAACTTCCAGAACGGCCTAAGGGTCTGCCGACTTCTTGAACACTCCAGGGGGCGCAAGCAGACATGCCGTGACGACGACGGTGACGAGTGCAATGATCACGCACCTTCGGTTCTCTTGGGGCTCGCGGCTCGCGCAAGATCGTGCAGGAAGGAATGGCTCCAGAATTATACTATTGAAACTGGTAAGTAGTTCAATCCCATCAGCGTCACATACTAGTTTTCCAACCCTAAGCCCGAAACCCTCAAAGCCCCAACCACTATAGTCCAGGCACCTGGCGATTACAGTCCATAGTCGCTGCCGCCATGAGGCTTGAGGAATGACGATGTCACCTCGAAGGGCACACCAGCATTCGACAAGCAATGCTTCCCAAAACCCCGCTCCAGGGGCGTTCATGATTTGAGAATAATAGGGTCTTTATCATAGCCTGGTTACTCAAACACCAAAAAGGAGATTACTTCTAATTATTCCGACCTCGCTTCAAGGATCATGAGACTTTGTAAGCTGGGCTCTAAGCAGGGTAACTCTATACTCTATACCTCTCTCTATAGCTCGCATCTATGTACTGCTACCCCAGCTCAATCACTTCTAGCACTAATATCTTACTTATAAGTGCCCTGATGTGTAAAGAAGCCGAAAAACCCAACAAGGATTCCAAAAACACAACGTTTGAGTGCGGAACTAAAGCAATCCAAAACCCTGGAAAGGCCACCAAGACTTTACAAGCCCTACAAAGCCCCACAACAACCCTCATCCAAATCTTCGCCTGCCGTCATTGGGGGCTCCGCCGGTCGAAAGACGTGGGCGCTTGGTGCAAATTGGCTTCGAGCATCCGAGTTGTAGGTTTTCGGGTGTAGTTAGGGCTTTACACTTTGAGGTGTAGAGTGTTCTGGTTTTAGGGCTTACATAGTTGGCGTTTGGGTAAAGGGGTCTGGTTACGGTTTGGGTTTAGAGTTTATGGTGATTATAAGGCCTAGGGTAGGTTTAAGGTTCAGGGGTTGAGGGCTCTTCTTGGGCGGATACGCAAGCCGGCATGGTCTAGTATAGGGGCCTAAATTTGGGGGGTTCCTAATATAATTGTAGTATAATGGGACCCCAAACTCTATTCTACTTAGTAAGGCCTCTATATTAGTTGTTGAGGACATTGCTCGGGACATGCGGAGGATGGGGGGATTCGAGACGCCGGGGCGGTTCGCGAGGGACGACATGCGCTAAAGACAAACCCAACCTTTGGGGACTCCGAAACACATGGGTAGGGTTTAGGCATCTAGTGTCTATGAATTTAGGGCTTGTAAGTTCGGGTAACCTAGGATAGCCGGGATTTGGGTAAGGCTTGATGGGGGCGCACTTGTTTACCATGATACTTGTTTCGCTTTCCAGACCATGCCGCTTTGGCTTCTGTAGTACTGATTCGATCACTTCGATGCGTTCCGTCTTAGCTTAGCAACTTGGTTCCGAAGTGTGCAAGAGCCGTTTGAAGGGGTGTCGACAAACAGCTTCGGAACAAGAAAGCATCCAACTCCCGTAGAACGTCCGAAGCAAGCAGCAGGGGCCCCTTAATGTACACCCATGCAGAAATTAAATGGGATCCTCCCCGAAATAAAAACACCCCGAACATCAAGATAGCCTGCTTCCCGGCATTGCTTAAACCATATTAGCCCTGCAGCCTCTCGATGAG